GGATGAACACAGCAGGCCAAGCAGCATCAGAGGAGCAGGAAGGTGGATCTAGGCCCGAAACGTCAGCCTTCCTGCTCCTCTGATGCTGCTTGGCCTGCTGTGTTCATCCAGCTCTACACCTTGCTATCTCTACAGACTTAGCAGTTTTGACTAGGCAAACCTGTGCATGGATGGTTGTGAGACTCTACTAGGTCAACAGGGTGATGATCTTCCTTTCCTTCACTTATATTTTGTCCATGTGTCTGGTCCATGCTTACAAAATGCTGCAAGTCATCTGGACAGTTTTGTTAGCATTATATTGCGAGGGCAGTATCTTGACATCCACGAAGCAATGTGACTTATTGGTCTTTCCTATCACGAGAAGCAGCAGCCTTTTGGTGTCACAGACCTGTAATGGTAGTAAGGGCAGAAACTCTCATAACATTTAAGAAGTATGTAGATGTGCACTTACAATGCCAAGGCATTGAAGGCTATGGGCTAAGTGCTCAAAAATGGGCTTAGAATAGTTAGGTGGTTGTTTTGACAGGCATGGATGCGTTGAGCTTTATGATCTTTTTCTGTACTATGGAACTCAATAACTATATGATCAGAGAAGTGACACGTTCCTTGCTTCACTTTCCACTGTTACACGTTTCATTTTTAAGTGGAAAAAAATGATCTGGTGAAAAAAAAGCTTAAAGTCTGGTTAGATCTGCATTAAAAAGGTCTCTTTTTACAAACCTTCAGGACATTGGTGAGACCATTTTTGGACCCATTGCTGCAGGCTTGCCTGTGATTTTACATTGTAGTGTGGCCTAATTTCACTCTGGTTGGTTGTTGCGCTGATCTGAGAAGCATGCTTGAGTTCAGCTAATCAGAAGTTACCAGTCTGGAGCTTTGGTTAATCATGGGCATCCTTGTATTGCATTTCTACTTTCCTCGCGGAAATGGCTGCCAACTTCACCATAATTGGTGTTTTCAGTTATCTGAATTTGTCTTATTGTAATTTTACTGTAGGCAAATGGGAGATGGAAACTGGTGCCAGGAAGTCAAGATCACATGTAGTTTTCATTTAGCTTTGATACTTGGTCTGTATGTGCAAAGTGTCATTCAGTTCTAATTTTAAACTCAACACACAATACACAAGAATAAGGACAAAAATGTATGTGTTATTGGAAACAGTAAATAACAAAGCCAAATATAAACTCTTCCAAATCTCACAGTTCTTTAGATGGGAACAGAACCCTTAAAATAAAGGAATTTATTTGATCAGTGCACTTCGATTGCTCAGGCACTATTACATCTCATGCAGAAAGTCAGTTGTCTACAAAAAGTAGCTTATATATTTGTGTCAGTTAGATCAAAGCATTTGTATTTTACACTGGCAAATTCCAACAATGATATAATAGATTGGATTGCCTCCTGTGTAAATGTCTGAAATGCCATGTTTTCAATTTATGACTACAGTAACAAGTGTTGAACAGCTATCCACATTTCTGTTTAAACATAATGGCATTTTTATTTGAATCATGATTGTCTAGTTAGAAGAAATACAAAATAACAAGGTATGATTTTAAATTTTTTTTGCCAAAGATTGGTTTAATATTATTATTGGCTCCAAGCAATGAGACTAGGTCCTATTTCATAAGAGCACTTTGATCCAATCATTTTTGTCTTTGTGCAATGTACAGATGCATAAAACAGAGCCTCGGAAGCAACATATAAAGTGTAAATCCATGTTTTTTTCAACATACATATAGAGTTACAGAGTCAGTCATATAGCATGACTCCAACTAGTCCACTCCGACCATATTCCCAAACTAATCTAGTCCCACTTGCCTGACTTTGGCCCAAATCCCTTCAAACCTTTCCTATTCACGTACTTATCCAAATGTTTTTTTAAAATTCTGTAACTGTACCTGCATCCACCAGTTCCCCTGGCAGTTCATTCCACACACGAACCACTCTGTGAAAAAAGTTGCTTCTCATGTCCTTTTCAAATCTTTCTCCTGCCACTTTAAAAATATGTCCTGTAGTTTTGAATGCTCCCACCCTAGGGAAAATATCCTTGCTATTCACCTTATCCATGCCCCTCATGATTTTATAGATCTCTATAAAGTCATCCTTCATCCTCCTATGCTCCAGTGAAACAAGTGCCAGCCTGTCTTTATAACTTAAACCTTCCATTCCCAGCATCATCCTGTTAAATCTTTTCTGGACTGTCTCCAATTTAATAATATCGTTCCTATAGTAGGGCGACCTGAACTGTAAACTGAACTCCAGAAGAGGCCTCACTAATGTACCGTACAACCTCAACATGACATCCCACCTCCTTTATCTCATTGCTTACAAACTTTCAAGTCTGTAAAAATCTCTCTTCCTTTTTATATATTATAGAAGTTCTTACTATCTGTTTTATTTTACTTACGAGTTTATTCTCACCCTCTTTATTGTTTTCTTGGTCATCTTCAGCTGGCTTTTAAAACTTTCTCAAGATTTACCTCTAATCTTTGCCATGTTGTATTTTCTTTATCAATTTGATACTGTCCTTAACTTCTCTGGTTAATCATGGTTGATTTATCCTTCCTAGAATCCTTCTTCCTCACTGGGATATATCTTTGTTGTGAGACATGAACTTTTTTTAAACATCTGCCATTGCTTCTTTTATACTAAACTCCTTTGCCAGTCCATACCAGCCAACGCTGCTCTTATTCCCATTTAATTATCCTTATTTAAGTTTAGCACAATTGTTTCTGAACCAAGTCTCTCACTTTCAAATTTAATGCTAAATCCCACCATGTTATAGTCACCGTTCTGGAGGGGATTTTTTAAATTCTGAGATAATTTATTAAGCCTGCCTCATTCAGCATTATCAGATTCAAAAAAGCCTGATCCTGTTGGATCCACAACAGAGTGTTTTAAGAAAATATCTCAAATACGGTCTACCTATGCCAGTTTGAAAACTAAAGTCATCCATGATTAATGTATTGCTATTTTTTAAAACATGCCCTCAATACCTTTTGACTTATTCTCTGTCCTACAGATTGATTACTGTTAGAGGGCCTATACACTACGCCCATCCGTGTCTTTCCCTTGTTGTTTCTGAATATCACTCACATGGATTCTATATTATCTAATCCAGGATCATTTCTTACTGACATACCAATTCTAAATTGCACTAACAAAGTCACACCACCACCCTTCCCTTCAAATTTCACATACATTCAGTTCCCAGCTTTGATCTCCTTGTAACCATGTCTCCATAACAGCTATAAGATCATACTTATTAACCTCTAATTGTGGCGTTAATTCACTTATGCTGTTCCAAATACTGATTAATGTTTCATTAATTTTACCATATTACTTTTTGTTTTCACCTTTATCACTATTTGCCACTGTTTTTTAATGCTTGTATAATCTGTTCCTTCCTGACCCATGCTAGGTAAGATTGTCAAAATAGTTGCCCTGGTATGCTGCTATATATCCTTTTGATTTTCAAGCCTACATTTCCTTCCTCCCAAACTCTCCACCTTCAAATTAGTTTGAAGCCTATTCTATAATTCTAGATATTCGATTCACCAGGACTCTGGTCCAACATAGTTCAAGTGAAGTCTGTGTGGTTGGAACAGCTCCCTTATACCCAGAACTGGTGCAAATGCCCCATGAACTGAAACATACTCCTTCTACACCAATCTTTTAAGCCATGCATTTAACTCTTTTACATTTTTTGTATCGAACACTTACGAAACTCACTTGTCATCTTAATGCAGGGGACCATGCTAACCTTCCTTGTATCGTTCCAATTTTACTATACGTGGCACCAAAGTGAAGACTTTACCATTCACTATTTTGTCCATGGCTCAGGAAATCCTAAGATTATCACCTTGAAGTTTCTGCATTTTAGTTTAGCTCAAGACCTCCTTCCAAGTCCTATCAATGTCATGATAGTAAAGTGGGTGACAACACCTGGATCTCCCCCACTCCAAGTTCTTTTCCACTTATACAACACAGCACATGAACAGGCCCTTCAGCCCACCTAGCCTGCAACAATTCCAATCCTTATTGCCCATACATGTTTCCTATCCCCGTCTGTTTGCCTCCTGCTCCTGTGTCTATCAAGATACACCTTAAATGTTGCTAACGTGTCTGCTTCCACCAGCTCCACTGGCAGTGAGTTCCAGGCACCCACCAACTTCACTGTGAAAAATTTTCCCCGTACTTCTGTCCTAAACTTTCCTCCTCTCACCTTGAACCTATGCTCTCTTGTAGTTGACTTTTCCACCCTGGGAAAAAGCCTCTGACTATCCACTCTATCTATGTGTCTCATAATTTTGTTCATTTCTTATAGGTTGCCCTTCAGCCTACTCCTTTCCAGTGAAAACAATCCGACCTTATCCAAACTCTCCTCAGAACTCAGTCCCTCTGGACCAGGCAACATCCTGGTAAATCTTCTCTGCACCCTCTTCAAAGCATCCACATCCTTCTGGTAGTGTGACGAACAGTACTGCATACAATATTCCAAATGTGGCTCACCTCATGTTTTATACTGCTTTAACACAACTTGCTAACTTTTATATCTGATGCCACAGCCAATGAAGATGAACATGCTGTATGCCTTCTTGACCACCTATCCTGTGTTGTCACTTTCAGGGATCTGTACGCTCAGATTCCTCTGTATGTCAATGCTTCTAAGGGTTCTGCCATTTATTGTAAAATTCGCACCTGAAATTGAATTTCCAAATTGCATCACCTTGCATTTGGCCAGATTAAACTCCATCTGCCATTTTCTTGCCCAAATCTGCAATCTATTTATATCCCACCGTATCCTTTGACGATCTTCCTCATTATTTGCAACTCCACCAATTTTGGTGTCATCTGCAAACTTACTAATCAGACCACCTACATTCTCCTCCAGATCATTTATATATATATTACTAACAAAACTTTTGAGATGTCCTTACCCTACATGCTACTGTTGTAGCACATCATCCAACCTGCCATAGCTAACGTATTTAATTTAGTTATTAATTAAAATCACTCTGCTATTTCTGGTCTTTACATTTTATTGTGTTATTTCTCTTTCTCAACACAGTAGCATCAGTCTTAAACCTAACAAATGAAAAGAAAAAAGAATACACTGGAAATCTCTACAAAACCTGAAAACCTTAACTTGCACTGTTAAGACTAGAAATACTCACCAATTAACTGCTTTATTTAGGCTAAAATTCTAATTAGGCTGCTCTCTCAATACACCCTGTGAAAATAAACTTGCTCAAAGCTAAGATAACAAGGTGTAGAGCTGGATGAACACAGCAGGCCAAGCAGCATCAGAGGAGCAGGAAGGCTGACGTTTCGGGCCTAGACCCTTCTTCAGAAATGGAGGAGGGGAAGAGGGTTCTGAAATAAATAGGGAGAGAGGGGGAGGTGGATACAAGATGGATAGAGGAGAAGATAGGTGGAGAGGAGACAGACAGGTCAAAGAGGCGGGGATGGAGCCAGTAAAGGTGAGTGTAGGTGGGGAGGTAGGGAGGAGATAGGTCAGTCCAGGGAGGACGGACAGGTCAAGGGGGCAGGATGAGATTAGTAGGTAGGAGATGGGGGTGGGGCTTGAGGTGGGAGGAGGGGATAGGTGGGAGGAAGGACAGGTTTTGGGATGCGGTAGGGGGAGGGGAGATTTTGAAGCTTGTGAAGTCCATATTGATACCATTGGGCTGCAGGGTTCCCAAGCGGAATATGAGTTGCTGTTCCTGCAACCTTCGGGTAGCATCGTTGTGGCACTGCAGGAGGACCAGGATGGACATGTCGTCCGTGGAATGGGAAGGGGGGTTGAAATGGTTCGCGACTGGGAAGTGCAGTTGTTTAGTGCGAACCAAGCGTAGGTGTTCTGCAAAGCAGTCCCCAAGCCTCCGCTTGGTTTCCCCGATGTAGAGGAGGCCACAACAGGAACAGCGGATGCAGTATACCACATTAGCAGATGTGCAGGTGAACATCTGCTTGATGTGGAAAGTCTTCTTGGGGCCTGGGATGGGGGTGAGGGGGGAGGTGTAGCACTTTCTGCGGTTGCAGGGAAAAGTGCTGGGTATGGTGGGGCTGGAGGGGAGTGTGCAGCAGACAAGGGAGTCACGGAGAGAGTGGTCCCTCAGGAAAGCAAATTAGGGTGGGGAGGGAAAAATGTCTTTGGTGGTGGGGTCGGATTGCAGATGGCGGAAGTGTCAGAGGAGATGCGTTGGATCCAGAGGTTGGTGGGGTGGTGCGTGAGGACGAGGGGGATTCTGTTTTGGTTGTTATTGCAGGGAGAGGGTGTGAGGGATGAGTTGTGGGAAATGCGGGAGACACGGTCGAGGGCGTTCTCGACCGCTGACGGGGGGAAGTTGCGGTCCTTGAAAAACGAGGACATCTGAGATGTATGGGAGTGGAATGCCTCCCTGGGAGCAGATGCAGCGGAGGCGAAGGAATTGGGAATAGGGGATGGCATTTTTGCAGGAAGGTGGGTGGGACGAGATGTATTCTAGGTAGCTGTGGGAGTCGGTGGGCTTGAAATGGATATTGGTTTCTAGGTGCTGGAGATGGAGACAGAGAGGTCCAGGAAGGAGAGAGAGGTATTAGAGATGGTCCAGGTGAACTTAAGGTTGGGGTGGAAGGTGTTGGTGAAGTGGATGAACTGTTCGAGCTCCTCGTGGGAGCATGAGGCGGCGCCGATACAGTCATCAATGTAACGGAGGAAGAGGTGGGGTTACAGAATTTAAAAACTGTTGACTTCTCTTTGAGCAAACTACAAATTATAATCTAAATTAGGTTTGCACAAGTTGAAGGTTTACACTCTACCCAGCAAATGCACATACCGTAGACAGTTACATATACTGGTAGTGGGTTGTAAAGCTAATGTTTGAATTTATGAATAAATCTAATATTGAAGGAAGATTGATTTCTGTTCTTGTCCTTCACTACTTTGCTGCAAGATGTTTCACAGCCTTGAACTCCTATAGACATTTAAAAAGATAATAAGGCTTTCTGTCTCTTTTATGATGACTCCTGAGCTCCATAGTTGGTCACCTGAGATGCGTCAATAATTTTATTGACATGTAAATGAGAAAACCTCCCCCCACATCTACATACTTCGGCTGGTCAGATTTCTCATCGATGTACCGTGTCACAACAAAACTGGTGAAGAGTGCACCAAATTTTCTGAGTGACATATGAACAGGAGTAGACCATTCAGCCCCTCGATCCTGTTCCACTATTTAAGGAGATTGTGGCTGATCTGTAGCTAAGCTTTATATACCTGCCTTTGGCTCATATCACTTAATATCTGTGCTTAACAAAAATTGATCTATCTCAAGATTTAAAACTAACAAATCTAGCATCAACTGCCTCTACCACTGTGTGTGTGTAGAAGTGCTTCCTATAATCTGTACTGAACAGACTAGCCGTAATTCTCAGACTATGTCCTCTAGTTCTAGAATCTGAAAACGGTTGAAATAATTTATCTTTACCTACTGCATCTTTTCCTGTTAATATTTTGAAGGCTTTGATCAAATCACCCATAACCTTCTAAATTCTAGGGAAAACCGGCCTAATTTGTATAATCAGAGGAGCAGGCAAGTTGATGTTTCGCATCAGGACCCTTCTTCAGAAATTTTGAGTTGTCAACTTTTCTGCTCCTCTGATGCTGCCTGGCCTGCTGTGTTCCTCCATCTCCACACTGTGTTGTCTCCGACTCCAGCATCTCCAGTTCTTGCTATCTCTAATTTGTGTAATGTCTCCTCATGATTTAAGCCTATAAATCCAGATGTCATTCTTGTAAACCTATATTGTACTCCTTCCTAAGTTAATAGGTCCATCACAAGGCCTTCTAGATCTTCCCACTGTTCTTCCTCTCAGTACAAAATTATATTGTCAAAGTAGGAGGCTCACTGTGTGAACTGTTACCTCTCTTTATACCTGATTCCTATTGTTGCTGTTACACTGCACTACCGTTTAACATCTGATATAGTTGCTCTCTTCTCTTCCTCCCGACGATGATTTTGATTCAACATGTTCAAGTGACATAACTGATTCTTTTTCCTGCAATCTGGAGTATATATCAAATGAGTCATTTTATTACCCCTCCTAATTACCTTCCATGGATCACTGAATTACACTTTTACACACTAATACCTTGTCTCCTGGTTGAAATCTTCTAGTTGCAGCAGGCTTGCCTGCCAATCCCTTCTTCTCTGCTTGTGATGTTTTTAAATACCTACATTTCTCTAGAAACAATGACACATAATCCAACATTGAGGATTTGACATTTTTGCCTTAAAAACTTCTCTGTTATCAATAAAATGGTCTTTTTATCTCATGACCATTGATCAATTTGAATGAACTAAACAGAGTAGATTAATTTACTGTGTCATTAGGTTATTTGTATCTTTGGCCCTGACAGGTGCAAGTACTTTCACAAAGGAAGAAACAAATCCTAACTGTTTCTTCAAGCCTAGTGTCCTTATGGAAGCTGGTTGTAAAAAAAAAAGTGACTCTAGAAAGGAAAACAGTCGTTCCAGAAAAGGGTCTTCCTCCTGCCTGACTTCTGGCACAGCATCCTAGCAGTTGGACAATGCCATTATATCCAGCATTCTCAATGCAGCATTAGACAGGGTATCCATTCACATCAGTTAAATACTGTAGATCACAGCATGTAAGACAACACCACCATTTTTCAGTATGAAAAATCACATTTTTGCACATGCTTGATATATAGGTCAACCTCCATTTTCTGTCACAATGTGTTTTACTCTCTTTACTAATAAGCAGCACTTGTTAATTGAACATTTCACTTACTAGTATTTAAATTGAGTGCAAGAAATCAAACAGGCAACATAGGATGTGTTCTGAATGTGCATGGGGAGGGGGTGGTTATGACAAGCCTATACAAAGAACCCAAATAGCAAATGATAAAGATGGTGATCAACTGCACCATTCTTCACCTATATATTTGACATTTAAATTGACTGTCATTTTTAGGTTCATTTTTCAAGGCTTCAAAATTTGACTGATTAACAGTAATCTGTGCTCTGGAATTCTGAAGGTTGGGCAGACGTGCTAGTGTATAGTACAAAAATGTCCTGCTAGTTGGGATTAGTGTTGAAACAAGATTGGTCCCATTATCTGTACTTAAAACATTAGCCTATTTTTTCTTCACCACCCCCCCATCCTGATGCTGATAATTCATAATTTGATATAGTCCCACAGACAGATAGGTTATGATGTTTTATAATTTGCAGATATTTGTGTAATTGTTTTACATTCAGCAGCACCAGGAAAGCCCATAATAGACAGCGGGTTTCCTCAATCACCGAGTAGTACTGTCCTATCCTAATTTCCTAAAGGATGGCCTAGGGATCATAACAGAAGACCCTTATTTCCTAAATTAGTAACAGAAATATTACATTTCCACATTTCTCACCCTGTAAAATTCTCATCTCTTTGTAGAAGGCAGACTTAAAATGCACTCTGGCATGAGGCACAGCTTCAGACCATTAGTTTGTTTAAATGCATTGGCCTAGAGGTATTATCACTACACTGTTAATCCAGAGACCTAGGTAATGTTCTGGGTGCCCAAGCTTGAATTCAATAAAAAATTGGAATTGAGAGTCTAATAAAGACCAAAAATCAATTGTCACGGAAAACACACACCTGGTTCACTAATGTACTTTAAGGAAGGCAACTGCTGTCCTTACCTCATGTGACCTCCATGTGACTCCAGACACACATCAAATGTGATTGATTCTTAAATGCTCTCTGGGCAATTAGGGATGGGCAGTAAATGCTGTCCCAGCAAGCAACATCCACATCCCATGAACAAATTAAAAATGTTTCCATGGTTAGGGCATGGGAGGCAATGGCCCAGTGGTATTATTGCTGGACTGTTAATCCAGAGACCCAGATAATGTTCTGGGGACCTGGGTTCAAATCCCACCACAGCAGATGGTGGAATTTGAATTCAATAAACATCTGGAATTAAGAATCTAATGACGACCATGAATCCATTGTCGATTGTTGGAAAAACCCATCTGGTTCACTAATGCCCTTTAGGGAGGAAACTGCTATCCTTATCTGGTCTGGTCTCCATGTGATTCCAGACCCACAGCAATGTGGTTGACTCTTAACTGGCCTCTGGGCAATTAGGGATGGACAACAAATGTTGCCTAGCCAGCGACACCCTCATCCCATGAATGGATAAAAAAGCATACATTTCCTGCATCATTTGGGTGGTGAAATTAATAAAGATTAGCTGACATTCTCCAGCTTAAACTTCCAACATTAACTGGCCTCAGCTTAGATAGCTCTCAGTTCACTCTTTAACATGGGACAGAGATTCCTGGCTCTTAGATCAAAATACATTGTCCGTTGAATGCACATGGCACCTATTTCACGCATATTAGTTGGTCATCCGGAAGATCATTTTGCCTGTTAGCCTGAAATGCCTATTCTTCTTCCTCAGAGACAGTTCCCTTTGGATCGAGGATGACTTGCTTCCACTCTGGTTGGATGGGCTTGGAGATGACTGATAAGTGCATTGCACACTCGACTGACTGCCACATGTAGGCCAGGTTGTGAACGAGAGATAGTAGGAACTGCAGATGCTGGAAAATCTGAGATAACAAGGTGTAGAGCTGGATGAACACAGCAGGCATGCTGCTTGGCCTGCTGTGTTCATCCAGCTCTACACCTTGTCATCTCAGGTTGTGAACGATGTGATCATTTAAATTCAAGGGTCTCCTCTTTGTTCATTGAGCAGGTGGCGTTACTGTCCTGTCCAAACATTGAGCTGCCATGATATTACCCCATCAGCCAACCCCAAAACCTGAGAAGCAGACCGAACTATGTGCACTTTTATGTACTGTACTCCAGAAAAAAGACCATTTAACCAACACAAGTGATGCAAACCAGAATAAAATCTGATTTGCCACAAGGACGCGCTTTGATGGGCTGGAGGGAGGGGGGGGTGAAATTTGAGAGGGGCGGTTTTAGTGCCATTTTATCAGATGCATTTTTCCAATAGATTTCGAAATAACCGGCCAGATACATCCTACACATTCGCTCTCAAATTCGATTTTTTTCCCAGCCTCCGACGGTGACCTGAGAAGACGAAGCGGCTCATATCTCTATAAACAAAGAGATGACACCTTGAAAAAGACGAGAGGAGTAGCACCAACGGTCGCCTCTGGCGAAGCCGCCCGGCCAAACCATCAAACAAAGTCCCGCCCCCCCCGGAGCCCTGCTGCCTTCGGTGACCACCCACGGGCGGTTTCGTATTCCTATTGGTCATACGAACTATCAATCCACATGTCCACCCCACCGACGCGGCAACCCAGTGGATTTGAATCTGTCCAATGGGAGAAGCGGTTACAGATTTGCCTGGCGACCAATCAGGTGGAGCGTTGCTCGTGCGGGTGGGTGTGTGAGGGGGCAGGTTGGGGAAAACGATAATTTCAAACGCGCGTCTGCACTAACGGTCCCGTTCAACGGTGAAGGGCGCTTCTGTTGTTTTCAAATAAAAAGCAGGCGCACCGGCGGGACTGCGATCGGATCGGTAAGGCTGAAGCGAACGGGGGTAGGCTTGTTGTTTATGCTCCCTTGTCGGTATTTATGAAATAAATGGAAGCGTCACAGAAAGGTGAACTCCATTTTCTCCTCCTCTGGCGTGCGGGCCGGGACAATGAAGCCGGGGTTTGTCGCTGCTTCCTTCCCCCAAAAGCTACCTCCGCTTCCTAGACCTAGGGCTCTGGGAGCCTGACAGCGAGCGCCTTGTCTGGCGGGCTCGGTTTAATCCTGTCACCGCCGCCCCTCGGTGTTTGTGAGGCCGGGCGGGAGGCGGTAGTGGGGGAGGGGGTTGGAGGCCCCGCCTTAGCTTGGGGAGCGGGGGGTTGGTGGTGCTCTTGGCTTCAAACCCCCTCGTTCTCCCTGTAAGTTACCATCTAGAAAAAGATGGATGTGTTTCATGGGCGATTGCGGAGAGCGGAATGATGAGGGCACTCGATCATCGCCACCAGCCTTTTTCCTCCCTCCTTCTCTCTTTTTCTCTCCTTTTCCACACCCGTACCATTTGGATGCATATTTTTATTTTGGGCTGGAGGAGACAAGCCGGATCCTTTAATTTCAGACCGGTTCCTCACCTCTTGAGGCTTTCAAGAGCCACTTGAGGCCTTCGGACTTGCTGAGTGGAAAGCTTGGGTAGGGTGGAGAAATCTGGAGATACTGTACCTTTGGGATGGGGTATGTGGAGCCCATAGTCTTTCATGGTATCCTCGGATTCCCATATTGCTGTCCTCTTTTTAAAAATGGATGTTTCTGGCCCAACGGTTTTGCTCCTGTTTTTTAAAATCCCCTTCCCTTTCTAAGGTGCCTATTGTTTAAAGGGCCTGGTTCAGACAACTGTGCGTATTCCCCAGGCCTGCTCCTGTGATGGCAACAGCGCAGTCATGCGGTTTCCACCACTCCAAAATAAATGACTTGCAGTATTTGCATATGATGGTTTAAAAATAATGTTGACATCGTAACCAGGTAATTCTTCCCGCACCTCTGAGCGGCGCTACATTGACCCCTCCCTGTGCCCATCGATAGCTCCTCTGATGCTGCTTGGCCTGCTGTGTTCATCCAGCCCTGCAGCTTGTATTTATAAATGCGTTTTAAGCAACATCGCTGCTCCTTCACCTACAGTAATCTGAAGCTCTTTTATAATCTCGATTATTGTTCATCATGAATTTGTTTTGATTGGGACCGTTTTTTTTGTAGTATGTGGACCTGCAAGAGGTGAATGACATTTGAGTAGCATCTGAGTCAGATGAGCTTTGATTTGATAATCTTTTGGGGGAATTCTTTAATTGTTTTGGCTTTGGCAGATAAATATTTATTTAACACTTGAAAGTCCAAGGACACTCTAACCATTAAGCCTTGATTCGTAAGTGTTATTCTTGGTTGGCTAGAGCACTTTAACAGCACTTTTGTTAATGGGATAAAACAGTATGAAGCTGGAAGAACACAGCTGGCCAGGCAGCACGAGAGGAGCAGGAAAGTTGATGTTTTGCGTCAGGGCCCTTCTTCAGAAGCGCTGATTTCCTAAGCATGTTGAATGAACGTTACTGGTCAGTAATTTGACTTGTGGCTACTGGTGGACTCTTTCAGGCAAGATTCTGTCAAACAATAATGTATCACCCTCTGCATCAGGGGCCTTTTCTCCCCTTGATCAGTCAAATTCAAATAACCGTTAATGAGAAGTGTTGAATCTGAACCAGGAAGTGTAAATTGAAATTTGAATTCAAAGTCCAGTCAGGCAAAGGAAGCAAAATTATTGGAGGGCAAGGATTGTATTGATAGAGGTAAATATTATTTCAGTTAATTTGCTTGTTGAGAGTATTTTAGGGTTTTTAAACTTTTGATCTTTTAAAAAGTTTAGCTAAGTTGAACTTTAATTGTAATTGTTTCTTTCAATGTTTGCCCATCTTAGACCTTTTTTGGTGGTTTTGCTAACAAAGTAGGTAGAGTCTTGCTGTGTATTGCTCTTACTGTGTATTGAGCTTAGGGAATTCACCTGAGAAAGAGACTTTTTTTTTAAATATTAGTAGAAGGAATGGCAGACAAATCTGAGAATTTAGGTGTGGAGGCATTCATTAAAACTAATAGCTTAAACAAGATATCTACATGATTATAAAAACAAGAATAACATGCAACAAAGTGCAGAAATGCAACTGTTATCAGAGACTCCACAGTTGGGGGATCAGACATTAGAGATGCTATTGAGGATTTAGAAGGAAGTTAGTTGGAGTCATGACAGCAATGGGAAATAATTGGTTAGGCTTGGTTTGTTTCCTTTCAACAAGAGGTATTGCAGCTTCCAAACCCCAACAGCTACTGAAAACTAGACAAATCCTTGTTCTGTGGGAGGTTGACACCACCTGTTCAGGGTTCTTCTATTGTTCTAATGTTTTTAAAAGAAGGCCTAAAGGCCTCTTGAGCTGTTTACTTATTGGCTTTGAGCTGATTGCTCAGCACCTGTTGACCTTTCTTTCCTTTAAAAGGAAAGGACAAAATAAACTCCTCTTTTTAAAAAAAGGAAAGAAGCATCAATATACAAACAAGTGTGGAGCTGGAGGAACACAGCCGGCCAGGCAGCATCAGAGGAGCAGGAAAACTGACATTTCAGATGTGGACCCTCTTCAGAAATGGGGGAGTGAGGAGGGAGCTCTGAAATAAATAAAGAGGAGGGGTGAGGCTGGGGAAGGTAGGTGTGATGGTGGTAGGTGAGTGCAGGTAGGCAGTGGTGGGGATAGGTCAGTGAGGTGGGAGGAGCGGATAGGTGGAGAGAAGACGGACAGGTTAAGGAGGTGGGCATGAGAGGGAGGGTTGATCATGGGTTGAGGCCGGGGGTGGGGAGATTTTGAAACTAGTAAAGTCCACATTGAGACCATTGGGTTGGATGCTCCCAATACGAAATGTGGTGCTGCTCCAGTTTACGGCTGGCGTTGTTGTGATACTGGAGGAGGCCCAGGATGGACATGTCGACAAGGGAGTGGGAGGGGGAGTTGAAGTGGTTCGAGACCGGAAGGTTTTGTAATTTGTCGTGAACTGCGCGCAGGTGCTCTACAAAGTGGTCTCCGAGACTCCGCTCGGTTTCACCAATGTAGAGGAGGGCACATCGGGAGCAGCGGATGCAATAGACCACATTAACGGATGTGCATATAAACACCTGTCTGATGTGGAAGGTTTTCTTGGTCCTTGGATGGAGGTGAGGGGGAGGTGTAGGGGCAGGTGCAGCACTTCCTGTGGTTGCAGGGAAAGGTGCCGGGGTGGTTGGGCTAGTGGAGAGCGGACGAAGGAGTCGCAGAGAGAGTGGTCCCTACGGAAGGCAGATAGGGGTGAGGAGGGAAATATATCCTTTGTTGTGGGGTCAGACTGCAGGTGGCGGAAGTGGTGGTGGATGATACGTTGAATCCGGAGGTTAGTGGGGTGATACGTGAGGACAAGGGGGATTCTGTCTTGATGTGGGGAGGGTGTGTGAGGACAGGAGTGTGGGAAACACGAGATGCGGTCGAGAGCGTTTTCGACCACGAAGTTGGAGAGAAGTTGCGGTCCTTGAAATACGAGGACATCTGGGATGTTTGGGAGTGGAACGCCTCATCTTGGGAGCAGATTACATTCTTGCAGGAAGGTGGGTGAGAGGAGCTGTAGTCTAGATAGCTGTGGGAGTCAGTGGGCTTGAAACAGATATCAGTTTCGAGGCAGTCACCAGAGATGGTGACAGAGGTCGAGGAAGGAGAGAGAAGTATCAGAGATGGTCCAGGTGAATTTGAGGTTGGGGTGAAAGGTGTTAGTAAAGTTGATGAACTGTCCAAGCTCCTCGTGGGAGCGCGAGGCGGCGCTGATACAGTCATCAATGTAGCGGAGGAAGAGGTGGGGGATAGTGGCCAGTGTAGCTGCTGAAGAGGGACTGTTCTACGTAGCCTACAAAGAGACAGGTATAGCTTGGGGCCCATGCAGGTTCCCATGGCAACCACCTTGTGGGAGGAGTTGAAAGAAGTTGTTAAGGGTAAGGATGAGTTTGGTTAAGCGGATGAGTGTCAGTGGAAGGGGACTGGTTGGGCCTGTGGGAGAGGAAGAAGCGGAGGGCTTTTAAGCCAACTGCGTGGGGAATGCAAGTATTCCAGCATCAGCAGTTCTTACTATCTCAGTGAATATACAAAGATAGCTTTGTTTTAAGAATCTTTAGTCTTGTGGTATTAGTAGACTACAGTACATACACACCACATTCACTCTAAGCATGCAAACATTCAATAGTACAGTCCATTGCAATCCGTCTTTTTTCCTGCCATTGAATGCTCCCACCTTCCTTCTTCAAAGTCATAACAATGTGTTGGCAATTACAACATCTCGTTCTGCCACATTGCAAAAATAAGCTGCATCTAAATGATCTGGAATTTTCAGCCCTAAATATTTCCAAGGGGTTATCAGTATATACCATTGTCTCAGACTCATTACTGGCAGCGTAAATGTTGAAATGTTGCAATGCTAGCACTATACTCAAGATCTCCTCAATTTTGGAATATTTCTGTTGATGATTAACCACCTTTTGGAAAACGTGCCCAGTAGGTCTTTCTATCTTCTTGTTGTCTTGCAAAGAACAGCAGCGACATCCTCATCACTCACATCAATAGCTACCTTGAATGGCATAGTGTAGTTAGATGTGGCTAACCATTTTTAGGCTGCCAGATACCTTCTGACATTCCACTGAAATTTTCTGCACTTATTCAGCAAGTCAGTCAGTGGAGCAAACACATTGTTAAAATTTGGAATGAACTTCCAACCAAAACCACTCAGTCCCAGGAATTGTAGTGCTTTCATCTTTGTTGACGGTATGGGAAACTCCCCAATAACCTTTGTCACATGGGGGCATTTGTCAATGTTTGGCCCAGGAAAATTATTTGGGCTTTTGTGAACTCACTCTTGGCCAAGTTTATCACCAAGCCTGCCTCCTGAAGTTGATCAGATAACTATTGTGGATGCTCCAAATGTTCTTTCTGTGTGTGACTAAAAACC